AGGTGCGACACAGGAGGAGGAAAGGTGCGACACAGGAGGAGGAAAGGTGCGACACAGGAGGAGGAAAGGTGCGACACAGGAGGAGGAAAGGTGCGACACAGGAGGAGGAGGAGGAGGAGGAGGAAAGGTGCGACACAGGAGGAGGAGAGGTGCGATAGGGAGGGGAGAAGTGTGACACAAATAGGAGGAATGGTGGACATGTGAGGAAGAGAACAAGGACAGCACAGAAAGAAGGGGAGAGGAAAGGTGGGACATGGGAGCAGTGGGAGAGGAGAGGTAAGACAAGAGAGAAGGAGGAGAGGTGGTACACAGGAAAGTAAGAGGAAAAGTGGGATACGAGAGGAAGAGGGGAGATGGAGATGTGGGACAGTGAAGGAGTAACATTAAAGAAAGAAAAAGATGGACATGAGAGAAAAAGAGGTGTGACACGGGAAGGAGAGGTGTGACGCGGGAAGGAGAAGTGTGACACGGGAAGGAGAGGTGTGACACGGGAAGGAGAGGTGTGACACGGGAAGGAGAGGAGAGACACGGGAAGGAGAGGTGTGACACGGGAAGTAGAGCATAAGTGGAACACAAGAAGAAGAGGAGAGGTGTGACACAGGAAGTAGAGTATAAGTGGAACATAGGAAGAAGAGGAGAGGTGTGACACGGGAAGTAGAGTTTAAGTGGAACATAGGAAGAAGAGGAGAGGTGTGACACGGGAAGTAGAGTATAAGTGGAACACAAGAAGAGAAGAGGTGGGACACAGGAAGTAGAGTATAAGTGGAACACAAGAAGAAGAGGAGAGGTGTGACACAGGAAGTAGAGTATAGGTGGAACATAGGAAGAAGAGGAGAGGTGTGACACGGGAAGTAGAGTTTAGGTGGAACACAAGAAGAAGAGGAGAGGTGGGACACAGGAAGTAGAGTATAGGTGGAACTCAAGAAGAAGAGGAGAGGTGTGACACAGGAAGTAGAGTATAAGTGGAACACAAGAAGAAGAGGAGAGGTGTGACACGGGGAGTATCGGTGGAACATGGTAAGAAGCGGTGGGACACGGGAGGAAGGTGACAACAGAGGATAGGAAAGGAGTGACAAAAGAAGGAAGGGGAGGTGTGTCAGGGCGGAGAGGACTGACACATATAGGGGGAGGAGACTTCGGTGACGCCGTAGGAAATCTTGTTACCTGAATCTGTCTCTTGGATGGAAGTTGTACAATAGCCGTCCTGTTCACCTTCCTCAGTAATACGCCACAGGTGCCTGTGAGGGAAAAGTATACACTATGAGACCCCCTGACCCCCCATTGCTCTGTGTGTGTCCCCTTACTGCATCCCCAGGTCACGTGACTCACCTGCAGCTCGGATACACAATGCTCCCTTCCCAGGGATCACTTCCAGACAGTTAATGAGGGTCCCGATTGGAAGGGCTCCGACTGGGTGGGCATCCCCCTCCTGGGCCGACACTGACAGGGAAAAGGGGACAGAGGGTCACGCATTTTTATCACACGGCCGAAGGACAAACATACATAACTCCACGTCTGTACCCGCCATGCGTCCGATGTGTGCCGAGGAAGTGATCAGATCTCCAGCTTTCATATTCTCTGTGGCAATAATCCAGCGTTTCCGCTTCCCTCCGGCGACAAGAGCGATGTCCGCGGACCTGAGGAGAGTGGATGAGGGAAGGCCTTGCATAAAGAGGACCTGTCACGCAGTTTTAAGAAGCTCCGCCCCTCCTTCCCCCCACCCTAGGTAGATTAGAAGCCTAAGCGCATACAGTCAGTTACCTGCAGGGGTCGTAGCGCACCTCCACCACCTTCTCCTGGAATGGCGCATTCTCACGCCCGGGCTCAAAATTCAGTCTCTGGAAGTCAATCATACGGAAGAGCTGTTTGTGTCCCCCGCCGACTCCATGGGTGCGGATCCGTCCTAAGGAATGGGAGTGCAAGTCAGTATTTCTCCTCCCCCCGGAAGGCCTCACCGCAGTCCACAACACGGCCTGCGATCTATCGGAGATGAGACGTGATCACCCTCTACAAGCTTATTCCTGATTGGCTAGACACTGCACCTCTCAATGTCTAGTACCTGGACTGTATGGAACGTGTTGTGAAATGTCCATGGTTCCGGCCTCATACATGTCACCGTCATGGAGCGCAGCGCCCGGGTCAGAGCGCTCACCGCCATCACCTCCGAGCTGAGGAGGAGAAATAATACATTATAAAAGAGGACCTGTCATCACAATGTATGATCGGGCCCAATACTACTGCTGGGAAAAGTCCTTCTGTGGCCCCCCGGGGACTGGGGCAGCCTGCGATCTACAGTCATCTGCAGCATTGTGGCTGATTGACAGCATTAGAGACCGCAGAGAGACAATGCCGACCATCTCCTGCCTGTCTGATCCCCAACAAGCATCACCTGGTGATCCTGCCAGTGACACACTTCCTGTATTAAGGTGACAACGCTCACTCACTGTACTGTATCTATGGAGGAGCAGTGTTCTTACACTAGGACATGACTACAGAACACCTCCCCCTCTATAACATAGCAGGAGGAATTCTGTAGTCCTAACACTTCCTGTCCTAGGGTGACAACACTCATTCACTGTAACCTATCTATGGAAAAGCAGTGTTGTCACACTAGGCCGGGACTACAGGACACCTTTCCCTCTCCGTAACATAGGAGGAGGTGCTGTGTAGTCCTAACACTTCCTGTCCTACAGTGACAACACTCACTTTACTGTATCTATGGAGGAGCAATGTTCTTACACTAGGACATGACTACAGAAAAACCCTCCCCTTACCTCCATGTCACTTTAGGACAGGACTACAGAACACCTCATCAACTCAGGGGAAGGTGTTCTGTATTCCTAACTTCCCCTCACCTCCATACCATTGGGGGACTGGGGTTCTGTAGTCCTGACACTTTCTGTCCTAGAGATACAGCATTCATATGCTGTACTGTATCTTTAAAAGGAGGAAGAGTTGTCACCCGAGGACAGGACTCCAGAACACCTCCCCCACTATGATATGGAGGGGGGGTGTTCTGTAGTCCTGTCGTGACAACATTGCTTACTCCATAGATACAGTACTGCCAGTGAGTGTTGTCACTCTAGGACAGGAAGTGTTAGAACTACAGAACACCGTCCCCTAAGTTATGGAGGCATAGAGAAGCTGGGGTGTTCTGCAGTCCTGTCCTAAAGTGACAACACTGCTCCTCTATAGATACAGTGCAGTGAGCGTTGTCACCCTAGGACAGGAAGTGTGTTACTGGCAGGATCAACAGGTGAGAATAAAAGAAAGAACTAGAATACAGAGGACTCATCTAGGGACTGGTAAGATCCAATACATTACAAGTGTGTGTATACTGCTCCTGAAGACAGGGGATGAGTATGACAGCCAGGGCAGCATTGTCAGGTGCCCCTCCTCTCCTTCAGACACATTCTAATGTATAACCTTTCCTATTCCTCTCAGCGGGGTGACTCCCCCCTCCCTCACTGGAGGGCCCCATCTCCCGAAGGGTAATCTGTGAGGGGCCACACTGTGCCTTCTACACCTCTCACCTCTGCCACCCGCCTGTCTGGAGTCAGTGAGGCGCCGCCTGATGACGTCACTGGCCGGACGGATCACTAGAGGAAGAGAGAGGCTTCACTAAGATGGCGGAGAGCGAAGGGGCGGGGCTCCGGAAAAAGGCGCGTCTTCCCCTGAACACGTGATCGAGAGGCGTGTGAGCGACTCTGATTTCACCTCACAGGTATATGTGTCGTCATCGTCGTCCGCGGCCCCTGCTAGTCACATTTGTCATCTCCGTGCTCTGGTATGTGTGTGTGAGGAGAAGACTCCACACTGACATTGCTGGCCCTGAGGTGGGAATGAACCCCTAAAATCTCATATATAACCCCCAATGTGTTAACCATTTCCCTGTTAGAGCTGCTTTACACACATCTGTTAAACTATACAATTTACATCTTAAAAGACCCCCCAAAATTATACATTTTTTGAAAGTGGAGACCCCCACACGATAAAATGGCTGCCGTTGCAGTTTTTTATGTCACGCAACACTAGCGCAAACCCAAATTTGCAGTCACGGACGCATTTAAATCCATTTTTTTGCACAGAAACACATTATAATACCTATTTTCTGGGTAAAATGTGAAAGAGGAAGTCATACCAAGCCCATCGATACCAAACACGCCAAGCTTCGAAATTGCGCACGCCCGGGGAAAACTTTGGGCCCCAAAATTGTCCACGGGCGACGCTTTAAAAGCCTTTACAGTTCATCGGTTTATGGTAAATGGTGAGCAGAAAACGATTGCTCTCAATCCGGCATGCGCAGCGATACCCTACATGTGTGGCGCGGCCGGCGTTTTCATACGTAGGCAGACCCAACGCCTGCGCTTACGTTTGTATATAAGGGCGGGGACTCATTTTTTTTCTCTGGGTTTTTTAACCCCTTGCCGCCTGGCTGATTGTAAATACATGGACGGATGGCTCACCAGCTTTTCCCGCCTCCTGCTCGTGCGCGCACATGAGCGGGAAACTGTTCAAGCAAGCCGGCTATGGCTTATACAAGTGTTCCGGTGACTATAGAGCTTTTATGGTGCTCGGGGGGTGCCCCCCCCATCCTGGGCTGTGCTGTCCTCCATGTGGGCCCAGGACCGGCACGGCGGGTCTCTGTGGCCAGATCGGAGGGGAGATCAGCGCGCTCCAACGGCTGACCTCCCCTCCGATCACTGAATGTGGAAGGGACGTGTATTACATCTCTTCCACCGTCAGCCTGTCAGGTCTTTAGGGATCCCTAGGTGACATTTGGGGTCTAATAGACCCCCGATGTCTCCATAAAGAGGACCTGTCACTGTATCTGGAGAGTACCTTTAACCCTCTGAGGCTGTCACAAGCTGTAGGTCCTGGGTCCTTCAGAGCTTCCACAGCTCTAAAGACCTTCCCAGTACACCCTCTATTTGATGTATTCCTCTGTGCGGACTGGAAGCACCCTGAGGAGTCCTGGACTTGGATTGAGTGTGTTGGAATTGTTCCCCTTTGGGAGGGAATTTGTCAAACAGAAGTCTAAGCCCACCATGGGTCTGCCGGTGACCGGCCATAACAGGGAACCCACGAGGCTGTAGAGATGGCATCTGAAGAAGATGCACATGTGCGCCAATACACAGAACAAGGGTCATTACCATTGCTGTCCCAGCCTGCCCTTGGACTTGTTTCTGCTCTGTCTTCCTTTTATTGGCCTCAGCTTGTTCCTGACCACGACTTGTCTCTACTGACTCCCTGTGGGACCTTAGTTTGTACCTGACCACGGCTTGTCTCTGCTGACTCCCAATATATGACTTTAGCTTCTTCCTGACCACAGCTTGCTTCTACTGACTCCCTGTGGGACCTTAGTTTGTTCCTGACCACAGATTGTCTCTACTGACTCGCAATATATGACCTTAGCTTGTTCCTGACCATGACTTGTCTCTACTGACTCCCAATATATGACCTTAGCTTGTTCCTGACCACGACTTGTCTCTACTGATTCCCCATATATGACCTTAGTAGAGACAAGCCGTGGTCAGGAATAAACTAAGGTCATATATCGGGAATCAGTAGAGACAAGTCGTGGTCAGGAACAAGCTAAGGTCATATATTGGGAGTCAGTAGAGACAATCTGTGGTCAGGAACAAACTAAGGTCACACCGAGAGTCAGCAGAGACAGCTTGTGGTCACATTGGGAGTCAACAGAAACAAACTGTGGTCTGCAACAAGCCAAGGTCACACTGGGAGTCAGTAGAGACAAGCTGTGGTCAGGAACAAACTAAGGTCCCACAGGGAGTCAGCTGAGGCAAGCTGTGGTCAGGAAGAAGCTAAAGCCATATATCGGGAGTCAGTAGAGACAAGCCGTGGTCAGGAACAAGCTAAGGTCACATTGGGAGTCAGTAGAGACAAGCCATGGTCAGGAACAAACTAAGGTCACACTGGGAGTCAGTAGAGACAAGTTGTGGTCAGGAACAAACTAAGGTCACATTGGGAGTCAGTAGAGACAACGACTTGTCTCTACTGACTCCCAATATGACTTTAGCTTGTTCCTGACCATGGCTTGTCTTGACTGACTCCCGGTGTGACCTTAGTTTGTTCCTGACCACGACTTGTCTCTACTGACTCCCAATGTGACCTTAGCTTGTTCCTGACCATGGCTTGTCTCTACTGACTCCTGGTGTGACCTTAGCTTGTTCGTGACCACGGCTTATCTCTACTGACTCCCGATATATGACCTTAGCTTGTTCCAGACCTCAGTTTTTCTCTACTGACTCCTGATATGACCTTAGCTTTTTCCTGAGCACCGCTTGTCTCTGCTGACTCCCAAAGTGGCTTTGGCTTGTCCCTGCCTACGGCTTGTCTCTGCTGACTCCTGGTGTGACCGCAGCTAGTTCCTGACCTCAGCTTGTCTCTGTTGATTCCGGGTGTAACCTCGGCCTGCCTCCTGACCAGGACTCTGCTGTGTACCCTGTTTGCTGTCTGTCTTCCTTGCTACAGACCACCACCTGTCCAGACCATGCTTCCAGCCTGCGGTGTGCTTCATCCTTCCTTTTAGTTGCCTTTTAGGCTGCCTCTCCTTGGTGGCCTTCCTTTTGGTCTGCATGAGCACCTCACAGTCAAGCCTTCCTCTAGAAGTGTGCTTCCATGGACTTAACTCCTGGCACACATGCCACTCTGGTCTGGAAATCCACAGAATGGAGCACAGGAAGTGAAAGGACACAGAGGTGTAAGGAAATCTCAGTTTCTAACCCGATAACCTCACTAAAACCCATTTTTTGCTGGGGGTCTCTGCCCCTCACTCTGTCCTGGCTGTAACTATAATCTACTAAACTGTGGCAGAATAGGTTAAATTATTTCAAAGGGATTCCCCCTCTGCCTGGTGGAGCAGGAGATGCCTGGAGCCCAATTCTT